GAGGGTTGGGATGTTTGCTTTTTTTTTTTGCCCAAGCTGGAGTAGGGTTTCAAAGAAAATGGGTCACACTTTAGTAATTCTACTGGAGGTTAACGTCTGTGAAGATCAGTCAGAAAAACTGACATATAGGAAGCTTCAATGAACTGAAGGCAGAACATCAGCATGACAGCCAGGTAACTAGCATCTTCAAGACATCAGTAGCAGAACCCCAGGTATTAGTCATGTGACATGTTTCCTCTAATATGGCACATCATCATCCTTTCTGGTCAGTAAACTAAGCTCACTTCAGTTCCTTTTATATAGAGGGTAACCGATTATGTTCGAGACACAAAGTAAACCCACAGGGGAGAAATAAAGTCTGGAGACAGACACACACACACAGCACTGGAGATTGTTCCAGACTGGTCCAATTCCTGTATCACCTGCTGCACACAACAACTCAGGAAGTGGCACCTCATCAGTAAACCTGGCCTTATCCCTGTGCAGCTGTGGATATAAAAGGTCTCTGTGCTGAAGACCTAGCACATTGCTGTTCATTGAGTCACCGATGTGTCTGTAAAATCAGCATATGTTTTCCATGCATCCTACTCAATAGGGGCCTGCCAGATGCCTCATGTATGACAGAATGGTCTAGGTCATTTGAATCCAATCGGTTGAAGCCATATACATTAATAATATAGGTATAAAAGAAGACCTGCATTTCTGATAGCAGGCGGATTTTCCCTTTTTGTCTACTTTACGGAAAAGAGAATTTGATTTGCTGCTGCCAGCAACACAGTTCTTTCAGATACACACTTTGCATGATGCAAATTTTTTAATGCCAAGTTATCCAAAGTGATGCACAAATACCAATAGCGGTACGCATGCTTGTTATGGGAGTTAAACTTACAAATTCTACCCAGATGATATTTGTCTGCTTGGACACCAGTGTCCCTGTATTCTAGACCTGTGAAAGTCTGCCTCCCGAACTCCCATCTAGAGGAGGGGCTGGTGCAGGAAACAGTGGCAGTATTATGTATCTATGTATGCATGTATGTATGATGTT